AAAAAAAAAAATATGTAAAAGATGACCAAATACAAAAATGGGCAAAAGACATGAGCAAGCCTTTCATAAAAACAAACACAGTCAGGATGCCTGGGTGGCTCAGTTGGTTCGGTGTCCGACTCTTGGTTTCAGCCCATGTCATGATTTCATGGGTCATGGGATTGAGCCCTGAGACAGGCTCCATGCTGGATGGGGTGTCAGCTTGGGATTCTCTCCCTCTGCCCCTTCTGCACGTGCGTATGCACGAGTGGGAGCTCACTCTCTCTAAAATAAATAAATATTTTAAAAAATGCACACAATCAATAAGCTTATGAAAAGATGTTCAATTTCACCTTTAATTAAAGATACAAATCAAAATGTCAAGGTACCATTTTTTAAATTAATGGGATTTGGGCAAAAAATTTTTTTAATTACACCTAGTACATATAGGTCAGGGTATGGGGGAACACTCTCCTAACTGCTGTTAGGGCTGTGAATAGGTAGACTATTTTAGGAAGGCAATTTGGCGATATTTGGGAAATTTAATACAGTGCATAACCCTTAATGCAGTAATCCCATTTTCAGATAGATGTTTGCTCACACCCCAGTGCCCTGAAGGCTCTTCCATTCTGTGTCCCACAGTTCCTGGCAGGGAATAGAAAGGCAGGGGTTGAGCAAAGGAAACTCATCTGGGTGGGATGGCTTATGATTGCCCCCTTCCATTTCCTCCTGCCCCATTTACTGATGCTTCCTTCCATTTCCTCCTGCCCCATTTACTGATGCTCCCTTCCATTTCCTCCTGCCCCATTTACTGATGCTCAAGATAATAAGAAACAATTTCCAGCCTCAATATCATAAACACCATGAAATTCAAAATCTGCTGGTAGAGGTAACACAATGTGAATGAGTTTTAGAATGTAATTGATGATAGGACTTCTTTTATTCCTGTTTTGATCATTGGCATGAGGAAGACATTTTTGCATCATCTTTGTAGCAAAGCATTTTTTTTTAAGATTTTATTTATTTTAGAGAGAGAACATGAGCAGGGGGAGGGGCAGAAGGAGAGGGAGAGAGAAAATCTCAAGCAGACTGCATGCCCAGCATGGAGCCTGATGTGGGGCTCGATCCCAGGACCCTGATATCATGACCTGAGCTGAAATCAGGAGTCCAACACTCAACCGACTGAGCCACCCAGGCACCCCAGCAAAGTATTTTTTTTTTAAAGATTTATTTATTTTAGAGAGAGAGAGAGAGCAGGAGCACGAGGGGCAGTGGGAGAGAGAGAATCTTATACAGACTCGCCACTGATCGTGGATCCTGATCCCACAACCCTCTGAGATCATGACCTGAGCCAAAATCAAGAGTCAGTGGCCTAATTGACTGAGATACCCAGGTGCCCCACCAGTTTGCCTTCTTGCCAGCAGGTTCTGAGGGTACCTGTTTACTTAACACCTGTGGCAGGATGAATGTGAAAACACATAAATGTTTTTCCTGTCAGGTAAAAAATTAGTATCTACTTGTCATACCGGTTTCTAGTTCTTTATGAGTGAGATTGAACAGCTTTACCATCTTTTCAAATGTTTATTGTCCCCTCCCCCCATTAATCTAGGGAAAAGATTAAGAGATAAAAAAAATAGGGCCCTGAAATTTAAAAAAACAACAAAAAAAGTTTTTTTAAAGAAAAGACAGGTGTCTGGGTGGCTCAGTTGGTTGAGCCTCCGACTCTTGACTTTGGCTCAAGTCATGTTCTCAGGGTCATGAGATCAAGCCCCGCCTTGGGCTCTGCCCTCAGTGTGGAGTCAGCTTGTCCCTCTCCCTCTGCTCCTCCCCCCCCCAGCACACTCTCTCTCTCTCTCTAAAATAAATAAATAAATAAAATCTTAAAAAAAAAAGAAGGAAAGAGGGCACCTGGGTGGCTCAGTCGGTTAAGTGTCTGCCTTTGGCTCAGGTCATGATCCCAGGGTTCTGCTTAGCAGGGAGTCTTTGTCTCCCTCTCCCTCTGCCCACCCCACCCCCCACTCTCTCTCTCACTGTCTCTCTCTCAAATAAACAAAATCTTAAAAAAAAAAAAAAAAAGGAAAGAAGGAAAAATGGGGCCCTAACTGGGGGTTGGGGAGGCGGTGAAAGGGACAGGGAAAGAGAGCAGAGAAAAGAAAGTCACAGATCCCTAGGACAAACTGAGCCTCCTCTTTCCTCTTTCTAGGGCCCACCTGTCTATCTTCAGCGGTGCACAGACAGTTAGATGCTGTGAGCAGAGGTACTCCGCGTCCTTCCAGACTTGAAAACTCAAACTGCTTTCCGGGAAGTGTCTTCACTTACTGCTCTCTCTGCCAGATCTGGCGCTCACCACACCCAGGGCCCTTCTGCCTTTCCTCCCTTTCGCCTTTCCTTTCTTTTTTTTTTTTTTTTTTTTTGCCTTTCCTTTCTTTTCTTTCTTCCTCTCATTTCCCTTCTTGTTCTCTGCCCTGGAAGCCTCTTTTCCTCCCTTTTTTCTCATTCTGTTTCCCAAGAACTCATCTCTCTCTCCTGCCCTGCTCACTCCTCTGCCCTCCCTTTGGTCCCCTCTTCATTAGTCTCTCTGTTCTCCCAATCACAGTTTTTTGATCTTGAAAGTTAATTTGTAGATTGTTTCACTGTAGTTAATAAAGCCTTAGGTACTTTTCTCCAAAATGCTAATGGGTGAAATGAAAGTTTCCTCTTTTGCCTCTCTCTGAGCAAAACTATGACATAATTTGATGTAAAAGACAAAAAATTTTCTTCAAGCTTTACATTTAAATAATAGACTACACAGAATGTTAATGTAACTTTTTGTAATTTTTTTTTAAAGATTTTATTTATTTATTTGACAGAGAGACACAGTGAGAGAGGGAACACAAGCAGGGGGAGTGGGAGAGGGAGAAGCAGGCTCCCGGCCGAGCAGAGAGCCCGATGCGGGGCTCGATCCCAGGACCCTGGGATCATGACCTG